ATAGAATTCGTGAATGGATGCTGTGAGCTGAAGGATTGAAACTATAGATGCATCTACATGGAGAAAATCAAAAGCAAACTGAAAGGTGGAATATAGATGGGTAGGAAATTTCTCTACTAACTTTTACCAACAATTTTATTATGTAGTTACAACCAGTATTTCCACACTACTCTTCTGCAAAACTTGGTTTATGCAGCAGAAGATCCAATAACTCATCTTCTCTATTCTTTAGTTCCATCTTCTGCCAAGAAAATCACAATTTTCTCCCACAACTTGAAACAGGTATCCGAAATTACCTAACGCACTGATAGGACTCGGGAAACCATTTTAGCAGAAGATGGTGCTTTAGCTTCATTACCAAAGCAAATGCGCCATAACAGGGGATATGCATCACTGCTACAGAGAAGTACCTTTAATAGTTCCGAGTTGGAAAATGAATAAGAATGCGATCCGCGATTAGTAGATAATAATAGGGAATTTTGGAAATAGATCATATCCTTAAAAGGGTAAAAATGTGTTGATTTGAGGAGGAAGATACATACCATAGTGGAGCAAATGAAGAAGAAAGGTCAAGAAATGGATATGGCCACCTGGTTCAGAGCAAGAACAATTCACCATCACTGAACTGTAATTACCAAAGATATTCAAGTTACAGACAGATGAAAAGGGTACTGAATTTACCAGAGCCTGACAGAAGCATGGAGAACCCACTGAAATATCGTGTATGTTACTGTCCATAGAAAAACGTATGCAATCCGAAAGCAAGGGAATCGCTAAAAAAATCAGAAAAAAAAAAAAAAAAAAAAAAAAAAAAAAAAAGTATCAAATTTTAGACTGAAATAATGATGAGAGTTGAAAGTTAATGGCAAATATCAATTGAAGTTAGCTATTTACCAAGCAATTCAAAGCAGCATCACCAAAAAGAAAAACAGCATTAATGGTATGCATATTAATTGCCAACTGCCATGAAGAACATTAGATTAATTGTTAGATAAACTCCATTACGTTACAAGATTATTAAATTAAACCCAACTAAACATGTTCATTAACTTATAACGAAGATAGTAAACAGTAGAAACTACTTACAAAATTGAGCCTATAATCATTGATCTCCAGGAATGGAACAATTATGAACCAGAAGACACAATCTGTGAGCAAAACAGCGCCTGCATTCATCTGCAGATCATTAATTGGAAAAACAGTGTTAATAAAAATAACAGTAAAACAAAGCTAATTTTACTTTTATGTTTTTGACATATCAATTCAAACAAACACCAAAACAGAACTGTAATACTACAGCAAGGTTCGACTCAATGCTAAACTGTGATTTTGCTATGGGAAAATTTACCTGGAAGATTATTTGAAAAATGTAGCCCCATATGCCTGCTGGTTGTCGAGGTTGATGATGATGGCTGTTGGAGCTTTTTGCTGCATTATTTGAATTTTCAGCAACTGCAGTAGAGTCAATGTTTCCTTGTTCTGCATCTAACTCCACATTGCCAACCCTATCGCCCCTAGTTCGTTTGTGATATTGGTAACATCCATGCAGGGAGAGGGATGTCCCAAGCTAAAAAAAGAACCAAATAGGAAAGAGAAAAAACATCAGTACAAAGAGGTATATAACTGAAATAAAACCATCTTATGGAAGAGTCTTTTAAAACACACAACATACCCCAAAATAGAAAGTGATTAATGTGAAAGTCCACCTGTAGAAAAAAGCAAAACAAATTACTGATTAGAAACTGCTACAGAAATTTCTATGTCCATCCTTTGTGTAACAAAATCAACTTCACAAAGAGATTTTGACAATGTATTCATATCTTCATGTCCAAGGAAGCCCTTTAAAAGCCTCAAGGAAAAAAAGAAAAATATACTGGAAGTTCTGAAATGAAAATGTGAAAAGATAGAAAGAGAACAAGTTGTATGGATATGAATGGCAGTGCAAAAATGAATCAATCCATCAATTCAATAATAAACTACAACTTTGATAACAAGAACAAATATGAGACTTACTGAGTGTAGTAGTAAAATATGGTGCCACCATCCGCAAGAACAATGACAAATAACATAACCAAGAGCACAAAGAAAGCAACAACCCTGAAAGCCAGAAGCCAAGCTGGGTGAATTCCTTTGAGGCATGGCTTCCAAGTTTCATCCTCAAACAAGGTTCCTGCTGAGTCTTGCTGATCTTCTTCGTTTTCATCTCGTCTTCTGCGAAAACCTTCATGTTTTGAAATAAGAGTGGATGCAAAGATTAAAGTGAGCAATAACCAGATGCAGCAAAGCAGGACTCTCCAGTTGAGCCAGTAGCTTGAGGTGGTTGTATTGGCAGTCGTGGGTGGATGCCATGTGTCTTTTGATCCTGTTAATGAACTCATGCTTGTTACAATTTCGTTATCTGGTTCTTCGCCTATCAAAGAATTTGGCTGATGGATGCTGTTCAACTTTCACATGGAAAGCAAAACACAAAGTTTGGAACTTCAAACTTGGGATAGTTTATCAACAAAGAAAGCAAAAGAAGAGAGGTGCTAACACTGGTTTGCTGATGATTTCAGGAAGAAATACATTAAAATTTTTCAAATTTCTGTGTAGAGAGTGGAGAATAAAGAAATGGGTTAGAGCAATAGAAGCTGATAAGAACTGATGAATGAAACAATATCAGACACAGAAAGCTTGAAAAAGAACCAGAGAACAGAGTTAATTTTGTAACTAGAAGGCTTGGGAAAAGAGATCTACAAAAACCCATTAGAGAAATTTAGCAAAGAAAGGTAAAAGAATAAATTGAGAAAACATATTTGACGGAAAAAAAAAAAAAAAAAACTTGAAGACTCGACAGAGAGCTTAACTAAAAGAATTGAAAATACCATAAAGCTGCATTCTTAAGAGGAAGAAGAAAAGAAGAGGCTCTTAATAGTTTTAGACTCCATATTTATATATATCAACATAAAAACAACAAGAGAAAGATTTGGCCTAATAGGAAGTCCAAGAAAGAAAAACAGAATTCCATTTTGAACTTGTTTGACCTCATAATTAATGGATTAATTAATTAATCGATTCCAGAAAGCTATAGCTAGGAAGAGATTCCAAACTTCAGCAATGTTTTTGCAGAGAAAAAGATAATGGAAACCCACTATTCTGTTTAGATTAAAGATGATACATATATATATATATATTTATATATATGTTTTTTTTAAAAAAAAAAGCAGAGAAGCTAAATTCTAAGCAAAGGAATGTTGTTAAAGGCTTACAAGAGAAAGAAAAGACAATGTGGTGGCGTGTAAGAAGAGATGCTTTGCTTCTTTGCTTTAATCTATGAACAGAGGAATATAATAATATACATACATATATATATATATAGAGAGAGAGAGAGGTGATAGAAGGATGGTGTGCTTTGGGCACAAGCTTCTCTTTTATGTTCTCCTATTGGCAACTTTGGTGCCATGTCCAAGAGAAAATCCTCTGTATGGTCTCTATATGCACACAATTCACAAAGCCATGCCATTTTTTCACATAAAAACATTTTAAAATTATATGTACTTATAGATATCTTTATTCATACAAACACAAAAAGGGTTAATATATTTTATAAAATAATTAAAATAGAAAGAAAATATTTTTTATAGAACATTAAAAATAGTTTCTTTATATTTCTTAACATTTTATTGTTTTCATAATTATTTTTTTATAATTAATTAATTTATATATTTTTATAACAACCAATTTAATTAATATTTTTTTCTTTTTACGTAAATTCTGAATTACATTAAATCTATTCTCGTTATAAGAGTATAAATTTTAATTTAAATTGTGCATTCCAGATCTTTTTATTAGAATTTTATCTTTATGATTTTTACGTGACTTATAACTCGAATAATGAAATATATAAATTTTTATTTTAAAAATGTATATTTATGTAAATAATATATAAATTTAAAAGATATTTCATAAATCTAAAATTAAAAGATATTCATGTTGTTGCTACTACCAACTTTTTCTGTGATTATAACTCCTCACTGGTTTTTTTAGTCTTTCTAAGTTTTTTTTTTCTTTTTCTGATATTTAGAGAGAGAGAGAGAGAAGAAGAAGAAGAAGAAGAAGAGGAACAGTTAGTATTATATTGAGATTTTTTGATAATGGAGGAGGAGATGCTTTTGGTTTTGGCGAACAGGAAATGGATTTGTTGTATTCTGCTGCTGCAAATAAAAGCATAAAGTGAAGTGGGGTTGAGGAGAAATGATAAGCTGGATTCAACACCATCATCCAACTTTTCGATCCGTGATATGAGCCGTTCACTATCTCAACTCTCAGATTAGATTAGCGGGTCTGATTTGGGGATGATCATCTACGTGGGGACAAGAAAAAAGTCATTGTCATCATGATCATCATGATGGGTAGCTTTTGATGAGGGCACGAGATTTGTGAGTGCTTTCAATGTGGGACCGACCTTGACTGAACCCTGACTTCCCATTCTGGATGGTGGGCCTGATCTGAGGACCCCAATTTCGACGAGGCATGTCGGTGACAGGCTACACGTGGCATTAAATCATTGGGTAGGATGACATATGCCATGGCTTCTTTGGTAAGTTTAAGACTCATGGCCCCACCTTGGGAAATCCTCCTCGGAAGTGGGATCATATAACCTCAAACTTTATGATTAATTAATTTATTATTAAATCGCACCGTTCGATGGATTAATTAATTAATTAAGTAATTAGTTAATTAATTAATTAATTATCCAAACACCATTAATTTGCAAAATGCACTTTACCCCGTGACTCAAGGATTTGATTTGATTTGATTTGATTTTGATTTTAATTTTAATTAACCCAAAAAAAAAAAAAGTAGAACAGTCATCATCATTTTTTCTCAAGTAATCAACTAAGTTTGATTTTAGATTAGATATATACAAGACTTTATCTCTCATAAATTATAAATAATTAAAAAATAATAATCACCCACTTTTAAAAAAAAATAAAATTGGCAATCATTTTTTAGCCTTATGATATTTATTACAACTTTTTTTATAACCCATTTAAAAGGAATGATTAAATTCTTTGTAAAAATAAAATAAAATAATAAATAAAATAGTGGGTCAATGGAATTTCTTTTTTAGTTTTTGTTTATGTAATAGAGATTAATTAATTAATGGAAAATAATTTTATTTTATTTTTTAAGAAATTTTGTAAATTCAAGATTTGAAAAAAAGGAAAAATAACTTTTGGTGGAAGAAACCGAAATAGACAAACAAAGACATGTCGAAGCTAGAGACAAAATTAGTTTGGTGATCAAGCCAAGAATAAGATTGTCCACAAGTTATACATATATGTATAGGTATGTATGTATGTATGTATGTATGTATGTATATGTAACGGTCCCGGAAGCGTAATAAAAATTTTGATTAACATCCCTTACACAATAACCAAAATGTACTCAAAATATGAAGGAACAAATTAACTAAAAGAGATACTCGAAATAAGAACTATAAATATAACTATAAAGTCTTAAGC